GAAATCATGTGTTTTTTTTTATTTGCACGGTGTGAAGTGGGTAGAAATCATGTGTGCAATTTTCTTTTTAATCGTTCAATATATATATCACCGTGTGAATATATGTGTGTACGATTCAATATTGAATGCATGCAATGCATATAACTATAGAATTGAAATTACCGTGTTTTTTTAGTTGATATTTAATATCACCACTTGAAGTTAATTACTTTCTCTTTTTTAAATATAATAGTATTCCACTTGTGCAAATTCACATATACAAATAAAGTATTGTGATTTATTTGTATGCATATAATGGTTAATGATTTTTCTTACACTTTTTTGCAGGCCAAATTTACAACTAAAGGAGCTGAAATATTTATTTTTTTAAATTGTGTTTATCATTTTAAATGTAATGTATATTTTGGTATGTATTTTTTTTGTGAATTATTTATTATTTATTTAGAAATTTCAAATACGTTTTTTATTTTCTAAAAGAAGTTAATTTAAATGTAACCATAACAATGACATCTAATCATGTTAAATAGTCAACACATTATATAGTCAGCTGTAAGTAAATCAAAAGTTTAAAATAATTTTTATAATTTTAAAGTGATTAGTGTGTTGATTATCTAATAATTAAATGAGAGGTTAAATAAATAAAAAGTAACGATTTTTGTAGAGAAAAAGTTATATTGACATACAAGTATAATTTAATAGGTTTTATTAAATGTTCATGAGCCAGCAATTATATATATATAGATAACTCTAATATTTAATTCATTGGGTTGTATTTAATATTTAGTAACAATGATTTCCCCATAATTATACAAATATATATATAGGATGTGGTTCAAATGAGAACCAAGTCCTAGCGTGAGAACTGTGAGATCCGCTATTTTTAATTGTATGTGGTGCTATGATTGATTGAATTTAGTGCTATTTTTAATCAGGATGTATTTTATTAAAAATAGCAACTTAGCATTTGTAAAAATGATAGCACCATGTAAGATTAAAAATAGCATCATACACAATTAAAAATAGCATCAAATATGGTTCTCACGGTTCTCACACAAGAAAAGGTTTTTATTTGAATCACTCCCTATATATATATATATATATAATTATAAAAGTAATAATCAAAATAAAGTATCCAATTTTTGGTATGTAAAGTAGAAGCATATAAAGCATATTGATATTTGCCACTCAAAAAATAATATCAATTATGTTTCAACATATAGAACTATTTGACTATTTCCCACAATTGATATTTCCAAGTAATTCACACTACGGTGTGGGCTGGGCTGTTCGTCTGACCTCCGACTGAGGGGTTGTGGTCGGCCTTCTAGGCACGGGCCGTGGTTTTGGTGTTTCGATTCTAGTTAGGCCGCGATTGGCAGTTTTTGGTGTTGAAACTCGGGCCGTGGTCCGGCTGGTTGGAGGTTGATCGTGGTGTTGCCGTTGTGTTTGGGCCGGTATATTAGCCCGTTTGTGGGAAAGACTCTTCTTTGTTTTTGTGTTTTTTGGGTTTGTGTTTTGTGTTGTGATTGTGTTTTTATGTGTTTTCTTGTTCTTTTGTTGGTGTAATTATTTCGATTGGGATCTAGATTCTCCTGTTGAGAGTTAGGCATTCTCCTGTTGCGAGTTTTTTTATTATCGTGGGTGCGTTGTGGTATTTAGGCTTCTCCGAGATGTCCTCTCTTTAGATTCGGCCGAACTCTATTTGTAATTATTTATATTAGTTAAAAAAAAAAAATAAAGAAAAGAAAGTAATTCACACTACAAATTGATAAAGAAAACAGGTTGCTTGTGAATTTAGACGAAACCCGTCAATTTACAAGCTGAACTCGGCGACTCAGCTGAACTTTTTACATAGAAAGAAATATTAAAATTTGACCCTTTCTTTTTGGTTCCTTCTATTTCAGTCATGGATTTCAATGAAAGCTATACTCAAAACTCCAGACGAGGAATCCATAAACCCCAGCCAAACTACCTGTAAAGACATTGTGTTGAGGAGCTGAAAAATACTCGATTCGCAATTTTCCTCCATAATTTTCCCTCGAGCGAAACGCTGGTTTCGTGAAAATTGGGCAACAATCGGATTATATATTAGTATAATGCATAGATCTGGTGCGGCGGTCATGGCGTGGAACGTGTTCAAGTTCTGCACGGCCCTGAGAGGGCTTGGGTCCATCATGATACTGTTGGTCCTCGGCGTCGTCGGCGTCAGCTACTACGCCGTGGTGATTACGAATTACGGACCGGGGCTTGCCGCCGGCGGCCTCGATTTGCTCGTCGCATTCGTCGTTTTGATCTTGTTTCACGGTCTGGTACGTCGGCTCTGATTATCGTCTTCAATTTGTGGATTTCCTTGCAGTTGTTGTCAAATACGAGATGTTTCTGTACGTGTTATACGGAGTCATTAGTTTAGTGTGCTAAAATTTCATAGATGTTCGGTTAGTTTTCAGATCGAGCTATTATGTGAAACGTTGGAATCTCGTATCCGTGTTTGTAGGTGGTGTAGGATCACTCCAGTCTTTATCTTATAATATGGAAACACATTAATTTTTATCAATGTCCATTTTTAGCTCTTATGGATTATGATGATTCTCAGCAATCGGTTGTTGTAAATTGTAATGGTATGAAACGCTTTCAAGGTGGTGCTTTAGATTTTGTAACATCTTTTTCATCAGGGACTTCAATAGCTATCATTTTGGTATCAGCTGTATGTTCTGTAAATCAGTGTATTGTTCTCTGGAGCAAATTGTTCGTCAAATTATAATTAAAGAGCTCCCATTTCATTCGATTGTGATTTGTTTCATTTCTACTACTGCGAATTGATGACGCTCATGATTTATTATATATGCAACTGAAAAAGTGAATAAAGTTTATTGCTTTGCAGTTGGTGATGCTATTATGGAGCTATTTTTCGGTTGTATTTACTGATCCAGGCAGTGTGCCTCCAAACTGGCGACCAGCAGTAGATGAAGAAAGAGGAGATAGTGATCTATTGACTGCTACAGAATTTCCAACCGACTCGGAGAATATTAGAGTCCGTTATTGTAGGAAATGCAACCAGTTGAAGCCACCACGATGCCATCATTGCTCTGTTTGTGAGTAGCTTCTCACTTAGCCATTGAGATTTTCCCTCCTACCATTATCCTTCTACCATGAGTATATTGTATATCTTTTTATGATTATAAATTCTTAGGTGGAAGGTGCATACTGAAGATGGACCATCATTGTGTTTGGGTTGTCAATTGTGTTGGGGCATTGAACTACAAGTATTTCCTTCTCTTCCTGGTATGAGTCATTATAACGAGTTATATCGGTTGGTATTAGTTGGTTATTGTGATGAAGTGTTTCTTGTATTAGCATGGAGTGATTTTAAACTTTTTCTTATTTGAGATTATTTTTCTTGTTGGATCTTGTATCTTGTGTATGATTAGCGTTATCATTTGGATCTCAGGATATATCCCACTATTGAATAAACTAGGAAATTAGTCTGAGCTTTCTGGAACTTTTTCTAATGGTTTTGTGTTTGTAAACACGGTTGATAAAACTACGGATATAACTTCCATTTCTGTTCCCTTTGTTCTTTTTCATGCAGTTCTACACATTCCTTGAAACCAGTCTCGTTACTTTATCCTTACTGCCTCAGTTCATTGCCTTCTTTAGTGATGGCGAGATCCCTGGAACTCCAGGAAGTCTAGCAACAACTTTTCTTGCTTTTGGTACTGTAACCTGTTCTTTTGCTATAACCTTCCTGGTTCTTCTCTATGCTTGGCTGATGAAGATCAATTTTTTTTTTTTTTTTTTTTTTTTTTTTTTTATATCTATTTTTTTGCAGTATTAAATTTGGCATTTGCTTTGAGTGTAATGGGATTCCTGATTATGCACATAACATTGGTGTCTGCCAATACCACGACCATTGAGGTATTATGCGCTCTATTGTTCTTAAGAATTGATATTGAAAATATGCTAACATTTTACATAAGTTTTAGTTGAATGCCTGTATTTTAGTTTAAATCCTTGTTCTGCATTCCATATTAGTTGTTCAATTCTGTTTTCGTCTTTGTTTCCGTCCCGTTTCTTCTTGATAGAGTGCTCTTAGTTGTCGTTAATTGCTAGGTTTACTGCAGTAGAGATAATGGAGGTGGAAATGTCTTCACTAAACTTGTATATACAAAGGGGTTTCCTTTGTTTTATTTGATATGTAATAGCCAAGCAGTTAAGAAGTTATTGGCTTTGTGTGTAGGCTTATGAGAAGAAGACTACTCCAAAATGGCGTTATGATCTCGGACGAAAGAGAAACTTTGAGCAGGTCAGGGAACTCTTGATTTTCTACTTCCTTTTTTTTTTTTTTTTGTGTGTGTGTGTGTGTGTAATGTGAGCTTGTGCTGGGCGAAGAACTTCTTTTAGTGTCTCTAGAATTATTGCAGTTATATACCTCCTTAAAAAGGTTTATTGACCAATATGTTTATTTGCTTGCTTGGTGTTCTTGGTGTTCACCATGTTATCTAAAAGACGGCTCTAGTTATAAATGATCACCTCTTACATAATGGACGGGTATATTAGCTGGCTGTTGTTTGTTCAGCCTTATAAACATGAGAGAACCAAGACAATTGTAATAAAAAAATCGTTTGGGGGGAAATTCACCGTAAACCTTTTTTTAACCCCTTTGATTAATCAGAGCAGAAAGAAGCATAATAGTGGAATTACATGTTTTCATGAGAGAATTGTTATGACAATAACAAATTCCCCTACTACGTGTATCGATAACTAAATCAGTCGACAGCTAAACTTGAAATTATATTTCAAAATTCTTTTGCTTCTCGTTGCTGCAAACGAATCAACTAGAGCCAAAAATGAGCCGTGTTAGACCCTCCTTTTTGTGGATAGCCCTATGTTATAATACTCCCACAGCTTTAGATGTCGAAAATCGACTCTTTCTTGAGCATTGACAATAACTTCACTCTTATCTTGTACAGGTCTTTGGGATGGACAGAAAGTATTGGTTCTTACCGGCCTACACAGAAGAAGACGCACGGCGGATTCCCGCTCTTCAGGGTCTTGAATATCCTTCAAAACCGGACTTGGACTCGGAAGAACTATGAGATTGATCATCATACAACTAACTATTATTACCCACAAATTTTTGTTCAAGAATGATGACGTGTACTCTATCAGCATTCATCAACTTCGTCATCTAAACTGAAAATTTGCACCGGAAATTTTTGGGCAGACAAATTGGTGGACTTGTGGCTGACCGGAACATGTCTTGGCAGATGGTGGTCGAAGGTTTTAGGTAAGCTCCCTTTTTTTACCATATACAGAATGAGGGCCAAACGTGTGAGCTCCCTTTGTTAGAAATGTAGATTGATATTTTAGTATTTTTTTTTTTCTCTTTTGGTTAATAAAAAGTAATGGTGTATTTATAGTGATTTGATTGCTTATTCTCTGATTTTTTGCTTTGTTTTATCCTTTAGTGTTGAGAAGAAGGGTTGCTCTCTTTACTCATTTGCTGTAGTGGGTAAAAGATGTAATTAGGTGTTGAATAATAATGTAAGCACATCTTGGCGTGTCATGGATTTTTAAAATCTTTAATTACCTGTTGTAAAATTATTAAATAGAATTTCCCAAAATTTTGTAGGATTTGTATACCTTCATAAGTTATATAATCTATGCTCGTGTTGGGGCTCTGCCACGGAGCCGTATTCGATCTCTGGTCTCCGGGGAACTTGTCAGGTTGTGGCCGACAAATTGACTAATTGTTTGACTGTGAAATTTGAAAACAATAAATTATAATAACATGGAAATTTATATTTTTAATTTATCCTGAAATTAATTTTTCATATATGCCTCGATCAACTTCAAATTTAAAATTAAAGAAAAAAATAATAAGAGAAAAACTTCTAACCCATGTAATCATTTTATCCTATCATGCCATGCCATATTTTTCTAGACTTTAATAAAAGTAATAAGAAATACGTGACCATGTAATTCAAATCAGTTAATTTTACATGAAATATGATTAAAATGTTAAAATAATGAATCGAGTTTGATGATCACCCATTGAGTTAGGTTATTAGACTGCACGTTTGAAAACCTTTAAAACACCTATTAAGAAAATGTATCTTTCTTCCATTAGTAGGTCACATATTTGCTTGCCTACAATTAATAATACTCTCTCTTTTTCTTAATACATGTCGTTGTAGAATGTCAATATTTTTGCAAATTAGTTGTCAGTTGGAAATATTTTATTTATTCTTTCAACTTTATCCTCTTTAACAGACTTTATTTCTTATCATTATCTTTAAAAATCAACTATTAATAATTCAAACACTAAATTTATGAGGATTAATATATAAAATTATACACGTTCCATGGAAATCGTAATTTAGAAGTTTTAAATTAAAACGACATTTAAAAAGAAACAGAGGAAATAATAATAATAATAATAATAATAATAATAATAATAATAATAATAATAATAATAATAACAACATTCTGTTTCTAGGAGAAGTCAAAAGAAAATGAAATATAAAAAAAAAATTAATAAATAAAATTGACCTATTTTCTTGAGAAAGCACGAGAAGTCGGGAACAATCTAGGCTCAGATTTTGGCTTTAATTTCATTTGACAAAAAAGGTACGTATAATACTGGAAAAACGCGCACGTGTCAGCTTCAGACCCTCTCTCCCCAACTTTAACCATTAAATTAAATAAATAATAAATACATCAACCAAAAAAAAACATGAATCGAAAAGGTCCGGCACTCCCCTTTGCCCTTCACTACAATCTCTGATTTTCAAAGCGCGAACAAGGTAATTATTTCATTATTTCTTTTGTTTGTTTTGGATATTTCGATCGTTGGAGTACAATTTTTGTTTGGTGTTGACATGTGTTTGGGATTCAACCTCTGAGAAATGCGATTGATTTGGTAGATTCTTATGATGAGCTTCTTTTTCTCTTAGTCGGAAAATCGTTGCTAGGTTATGAAAACACGTCGAGCTTTATCGAATTGGAGCCGCTCGGACGATGTTAATTTACATCGTGCATTTAATTTACTGAGAGTAGCTAACAATTTAGCTTTGGATCTGCACAAATTCTTGTACTACCCGTTACTCTTTTAACAAAATGCATGCTTATGTTATGAAATATCATTGTTATGTTTGTTTATGGTGTTTTTAGAGTATGATATTTCAGTTTGAAAGTTTGAAAGTATGTATATTTGTTGAAAAAGTATGTCTAGCTAATGGTTAGGCGGCTTTCCTCATCTTTCATATGGCTATCGACTTGATGTCAAGGAATTATTAATTTATTTCAAAATTCTTTTAAATTTTCGTTTTCTGTGGGAGGAACAAAAGTCATTGATGAAGGTAACATCGAATCTCATATTTAAGGTATAGATTATAGTAAGGAAGATTATTGAGTTAAGGCTTTAGGAAAATGATATTCGGGTGTTTCTGTATTGTAACCTTTTAGGGAGTTTTGAAGCACAATGGCAGGGCATAGAGAAGCTAGGAAGAATCCTAATTCTTTAGGTGGAGATTTCGGATTTGGTGGGAGTACATTTACTAGCGTATTCGCGGGCAATGATCCTTTTCACGACCCCTTTTTCACTAGTCCTTTTAGCATGTTCGGTTCCAACACTTTTAGCTCCGGTGGTCCCGCTAATTTTCAGCACGCGAAGCCAAAAGGACCAGTCATTCAAGAGCTCGACAGTGATGATGATGATGAAGTGCAGATGTTAAACAAGGAAGGTGATGTTAATGATGCTGCTGATTGGCGCAATAAAAATCCGCTCGTTGAGCATCCAGAGGACCAAGCCAATGGTAAACAAGCCTTTTTCCTTTGAGTGTCACAATCCCAAATGACTAAAATTGCCCCTGAAATTTTGTACTTTCTATAACGTAGAAACAAAGTTGAGTTAAATTTCAATTTTGATTGTTTTTTTTCGTTAAGTTTATATCCAATCACATCCTTAGCTCTCGTCTTTGGGTATATTTCTTTACTTTTTTTCTGGTTGATCGACCATATTACTTGTATAAATGGAGTTTTTCCACTGATGATATTTTCAATCTGTTAGAAGACCATGGAAAGAGTTCTAGCAACGGGAGAGAAATCTTACGTAGCACGAATAATGAAAAAGTAGTGGCAAACAAAGAACAATCTCGAAGTTCGAGCTATCAGAGGGTGACTTATGGGGGAATAAATGGAGCCTACTACACTGCAACGACTTCTCGTAGGACAGGTAATGATGGGGTAAGTGAAATGTGTAATGTCTGAAATTTGGCACTTTGTAGTGATTTTCAGCTTCTTTAAGTTGATTATTTTGCTTCATTGACCTATTATTAGGTGACGGTGGAAGAAAGGAGACAGGCTGATAAGACAACTGGTCAAGCAACCCACAGGATTTCTAGAGGACTTCAAGACAAGGTGCCAATTAGCCGGTTCTTTATCCGTTAGTAATTTGTGGTTTATGTCGTGTGATTTGCCGAATTGTACATTTAACAAGGATAGCTGTGGTTTTGAATGCTTTATATGAGGGGTATATCAGTAGTTTTTACCAATCAAATGATTTTCAGCAAACTCTGGTGAAAATCTCATGTTGACCAGCGAATGACGATTCCTACTTCTTCAATATATATTTTGCGTTTCTTTTGTATACAATTGGAACTTAATGAATTGATAAGTTTTGATATATTCTGAATTACCCATTGATGGAACATGTGCGAAAAAAAAAAACTGACCTTTGTTTTTTGTTTCCTCAATTGGCAGGGGCATTCGGTCACAAGAACACTTGGTTCAGATGGTAAGGTGGACACAGTTCAGACTCTACACAACCTAAATGAAGGTATGTTCTTTGTAGCATTAAATACTGTGGATAATAGGCTAGAATACAATTTCCTTTTGTAGAAAATATACGATGTTATCATATCTGTCAGATGAACTTGAGGGCTTTGAACAAGCTTGGAGAAGCAACGGGGACAGGCTTTCGCATGGTTGGAATGATACATTTGATTTTCCAGGTAAGAGTTCTAAATTTTGTTACTATTATTTCCAAAAAAAAAAAAAATTATTAGCAGTGAAAGGAACTAAATATACCTAGCACATGTCTACATGTAAATAATTCCTCTCCCAAAACCGGAGCTATAATCTTGTTTTAATTTTTGGTTAATGTCGTAAACTTATGACAGGCTCGGGCAGTAGAAGAGAAAGTAGACTGGGATTCTGGGGAGGATTTATGAATCCATTCAAAGAACATTCAATTAGAAATAATGAGATGGGTGTTGATCGGGACCTTCAAGCACAATCATCCAGAGGGAGGCCAAAAAAGATTGTCACAATCAACATTGACTAAATCAGCCACTCTGTAGTGAATTGGTTTTTACAAGCAGTAAAATAGGTTATGTGAATACACGGTTGCTGCCTAGATTTTGGCCGTCCTATTTGTTGCATTATCTTATTGGTTTTGTATTCTGGTTTTGTCCTGCAGTCTCTGAAAGATGGACCTACTGTGAAGCATGGATTTATAATTGTATTTCTCACATTAATGTCTTCTATTTTCCTGAAAATGGTCGGTGTACGTTAAATGTAGTACAAGATCTGACGAGATAATTCTGCAACAAAGCAGGCATGCAATTGATTTGTTTCCATTGTTTCAAATATGTCCCAAATCCCACAAATTTTACGAAAGGCTAAATATGAGTATAACCAGGCAGGCACTTTTTGAACATCAAATGAATAATAACACACCAACACATTGCAAAATAAAAACTGATTAATTAAACAGATCATCAAAACAAAATCTCCAAAACACTACTGGTTTAGCAAATTGATCAACATCAGCCAGGACGAAAACTTAATAAACTAGTCTCACAACAAATTCTAGTGCGTCCCTTTATAACAGGAAATACAAACTCCATATTTCTTCATTGCAAGCTCTTCAGGCCACGAGGGTGCTGGCAGTAGTGGATTCACTGCATAGGAAGTACAGAAGGTCAATGTTCATGATACCTCAGACAAGTATGCCAAATACTAAAAACACAGAGATCATATATCACAATAAAGAATGGAAATAACAATCCAATCCCCAAAAAGTCGAATTCTTGCGCTTATAGAATTGTTAAGCTCAAACAAGTGACTTGTTTGACAGCCCGGCACATTTACAAAACGATCAACCAAAATTTTCATGTAGAAAGCCATTGTATAACTTTGTACAACAGTAGAGGAAAAAACACGGACTTACTATTTCCAGACAGGTGGAAGCTTCTTGGTCTTTTTGTAGTAACGAGCAAGTCTGTGAATCCTACTCTCAACGAGAATCAGCCTGAATTTGGAGTCCTTGTCCTTTCTGTTTCTCTCTAGATGCTTCCGGATGGCAACGGCTTTCTTGATGAGGTGGTAAAGATCCTCCGGAATCTCAGGAGCAAGCCCTGTGGTGAGAGATAAGTTAAAAAAAAAGTTACTAATTCACATCTATCACCAGATAACAAAACATTGGATGCAGATGGCATTTTACCATGAGCCTTTAGGATCCTTAAAATCTTGCTGCCAGTTACACTCTTCACTTGAGCAATCCCATGAGAATCACGAAGAATAACACCAATTTGAGAAGGTGTTAAACCCTTTTTGGCAAACTTGCAAATGTTCTCTTCAACCTGTACGAGTGGATTATTTCGGAAGTGGCGGCACATATAAGGAATCTTAAAATCATATATTAAGCAATGGGACAAAAATACAACCCAAAGCCATAATTAATGGACCGAGCAGAGTAATGAAACAAACTGACAAATCAAACAAGCAATGACAAATGAAGGATTAAAGGTGTTGGAACATTGAAGGTATAATTAAATGAAATTGTTCGATGACAATTAGCAAATAATAATGACAGTGCAGCCCACATGAAGAAAACCTATGATGTACTCCAGTCATTTTTCTGAAATTATTTCAGAAATGACAGTACTAAAAGGCCAACAACTGGAGAATCTACAAACTCTATACAATTAATTGAAAAATAAATAAATAAATAAACTAGGAAACACACAATAAGCATATCAAACAAGCAACATTGTATGCACTAACATATACTGTACTGCAAAAGATTAATATTTTACGTAATCAACAATCAAACAGCTGAGGCAACATGAAAAGAACAACCCACGAACAAAAAAAATGTTTCATAAGCAAGTACACGGCAGCTCATTGATCACACAAACTAAGCATCTGATAAGATAGCTGAAAAATGAAAAAACACAAAAAAGGTTTAACTGATCACTTACATCCTGAGAGGAAATCTTGAGCCAGCTCGGTGGAGTCCTCTTATAGGGAAGTGCTGATGCTGAAATACCCTTTCTGCAATTTCCCCAAAAAAAAAAAAATTAGAAATAATAAAAATGATAAAAATACGTAAAGATAGAAAGAAGGCAGACCCTCGGCTGTGCATACGACCCATGGTGGCGGCTTTCCGGTGCCCGGTGGAGCGAGAAGGCGGCGGCGATAAAGCTGAGAGACACTTACTGCGTAGTGGAGAGGAGCACAAACCCTAGGATTACAGCCGGGAACAGAAAATTGAAAGGCATTTATAGATGTGGGTCGTATTTGCGATTGGGCCCTCGCTGTTTTTACATTTTCGCATTATTAATTTTCGACCCAATACGATAAAATATACTAACTAGGCCCAAATTTTGACCCAAAAGACCATATGTGAAGAGAGAGGCCCATCAAAAGGCCCATAAATATCTCAAATGGTTTTGCTTTCGTTTTTCCAGAAGTTTGTTCACTCGCGGATTGCAGTGAAGAAATCCTCAGATCAGTGAACCTTCACTGTGATTTATGAACTACTGCGAAATGAATTTAAGGTATTCTTCTGATTTTCAGTTGCTTTTTTTTCTTGATAGATTGTTTGAGAAATTCCAATTTATTCCGATTAACTGCGGTTACGTATACATCTCTACAGTCACATCGCCCTCTTGATTTTTTCGTTCGTTGATTTAATACGTTGTCACATGTTTTAAACTAAGAGTTTTATCGAAATTGACCTGTATGTGCTGAAATGAGTTTGTTTTTGTGGTTAATGTGTTTGCTGCATTCGGTTCAGCTTAAATGCTGATTAATGCCACACACTTTTTTTTTTTTTTGGCAATTTGCAGAAGTATTTACGGAGAAAAAGGATTGATTTTAGTATTTTAAGCTGGAAATCAGCAGTTTGTGGAATGAATATGGCGGGAAAGAGATTATGCCTCGGCTGGAATCGGTTGCTTTTATGTCTGCCCGTAGTTATCTTCGTTCCCTATTTGCTCTCAGGTTGAGGATCAAATGCTTTCAGATTGTTTTCCTTAAATCATTTTTTTTTTTTTTGCTGTGTTTAAGTCTGTTTTGACAATTTTGAGTGAGAAGTGAAATGGGTACTTTTCACAGTTAAGGATCTCCATCAACAAACGGATTTGGAAAATTTACATAAAGTGAAACCGACAAAATTCGATCGCCTTGTTCTTGGCCCTGCTGCTGGCGAGGGACTTCCCGATCGTTTGCAATGCCGAGGTTGTACTTATTATCAGTGCACAAACTAGTGGTTTGAATTGAAACTTAGAGGAAAGTAATGCTTATTAGTGTGTTTTGAATTTGATTGGTTAAATATTGTTTGTCGCGTAAATTGCATTTGGCGCAGTTGCTGGACCTGAACTCCACATTATCTTCTTAACAGCCAATGGTTTTGCCATAATATTCCTTTTTACCTTGATAGTACTGGCAACCTCATCTTTAAAGAAATGCCTTGTTCTATATGTTGAGATTTTGTACAGTTGTCTGGATACTGTAGTAGTTCATTTTTTAAACTCGTACCATATTAAGGATGTCTGGTCTTTTCCTCTCTCCTTTGCTGACGATCATTGGCTGTAAGTGTTTTATATCAAACAGTTGCCAGTTCATGGATATATGAACTTATTTTGTACAAACTCAAGTTTCAGTTATAGTTAAAACACAGTTAGTTCCCCTTCATATGATAATTCTGCTAAGGGGTTAACCTGAAATGTTTGCAGGGACAAAGGCTCTTAGCAAGATGCAATTTGGAACATCCATTAACAGGTCTCACTCAATGGATGGTGTAGATTTTGTCACTGTTTTTACTACCTACAACTCCACTGTTGAGAGTAGACCAGTTGATTTGGTAACTGTTGGAAACGTGTCGTATAACAAAGTGGAGAGATCAATGGCCATTCTCAGTGCTTTCATAAATTTCATTCAGGTAAAATTTTTCATTTTTAGAGTACAAATTAGAAATTATTTTGGCCATTATGTAGCTGGTCTTTGTTAATTTTAGTAGCAACAGCAATAGATTATTTTTTTTCACAGAATAGCATTACTGCAGGTTACCATGCCTCAAAGCAATGTTATCATTCTTACTGACCCCGCCTGTGACCTTTCACTGCATAGAGACATGGTTACTGTACAACCGATACCAGGTGAATATTCCCGAGACAAGTTGATGCTCCAAAGAATCAGGTCTTACATTGTAAGATCACAAGACACTGCTGGAAAATGGCGACATGCTATTCGTTATTAATTTCTTTAGTTGATACTTTATTACAACATGTAGATTTTGTTTTGATATGGTATTTACCGGCAAAGGGCTATCTTTGAAAATCCAATCAATTTCTCTGAAAGCTAAGAATTTTCAGTCGCTTCTTATTTGCATTAAATGTTATTTGCTCAGGCCTTCCTAGAAGCAAAGCTCGAGAAGCTGACTCAAAAGCAGGAGCAACTCGCTCATTTCATTTTCACGGATTCTGATATAGCTATAGTGGATGACCTAGGACGAATATTTACCGACTATCCTAATTTTGATGTGGCTCTCACCTTCAGAAACAACAAAGAGCAACCTCTAAATTCTGGTTTCATTGCAGTAAGGGGAACTCCTGAGGGGATTAAAAGGTGAGAATTAATTTTGTTCGTCCCTTTTGGTGGCTGCAATAAATTAGCATGCCTTAAATCGTCAATCAATTTAAAAAATGAGTATTATTTTCCAATATGGCCTCTGAGATGATGATTAAACTGCTGGCAGGGGGATGGCTTTCTTACACGATGTGCTGGAAGCTTATACTTCAAGATTCATGAGAGCTTCCCGGATGCTTGGAGACCAATTAGCCCTTGCGTGGGTTGTAAGATCTCACCCCAATTTTAATGTCAAAAAATTTTCTAGAAGAGAAGCCTTTCAAGACAAAATTGGTGGTGTCTTAGTACTATTTTTGCCATGCTCAACGTATAACTGGACACCACCCGAAGGTGCAGGTCAGTTTCACGGCATGCCATTGGATGTGAAGGTA